GCACAATTGAAACTTTGGAGACTTCAACATGAGAACTTTGCCTACTAAAATGCCAAAATTCTACTTATCTGCTCTTGAAAGGATTTCTTGAATTTTCTAAAATCGTACCTAAATAAACCATCAGGTTTTGAGGGAGATTTCAAAAATTTTCCAAAAATCACTGGAAATTTTTGTAAACGTGAAACTTTGGACCCTTAAAAATTTGGATCGCTTCTACTAAAATACCAAAACTACACTTTATTAGTTGCACCTGTTAACTTTTTTATGTGTTCAAGAAAGCCAATAACGTTCGACACTGAGTTTCCATCCAACACAAACCTGAAGTTTCTTAAATTTCCAGTTGTTAAACTCTATCACTTCGAATGCATTTACAAGGGACGAAAACAACAGGGTGCTAAAAAAATCTACCCGAAACTTTGAAGTTGTCTATCGTCGCCCTAGAAGGTCCGAAAGGATCGAACAGAACTGATTAATGTTGCAAAAGATGGGCTTCTGGACTTCTCTCAGAACTTTCTTCTTCTCCGGGAAAACTCAAACGGGTTCTGATGAGAAGAAGAACGTTCTGAGAGAAGTTCTGATGAGAACTAACCCAAACCACTTCTGAAGATGCAAGCCACTCGTGCCTGCGAAACGTCAAGAAGAAATTCTACCGAACGACGGCCTAAAAACCCGAAAAACCCATTAGTTTTTTCATAGATGTTTTACCCTCGGGAGTATCGGGTAGTTTGGAACTTTCGCCCGCAGAATTGACTGAGTTATAAAATTGGCATCTACGTTCAAAAGTCTGACACCAGCTTTTGGCAGTGACGCAATGATTGCCGTTCTTTTTCTCTTGCGTGTCCAGCGAGCGAGACGGAATTTGGTTGGTATGGAAGAATATTAAATTTATTGATTTGATTGGGGAAAAAATCGATTTATTTTCCCGATTAATTGTTTCCAGTCTGCAAATTCAACTCACGTTGGGTTTTATCAATTTTTCGTGAAAAAACTGCTTAATGTTGCTGATAAACCGCACTTTGAGTCCTCGCTAATTCAACCAACTTTTGAGGCCATGGGCAGTAAAAAATGCGTAGACAAATCAATCAGGTGTAAAGCTGTGCCGAACCCTCAAGGTGCGCCACTGGACATGGCAAAATACCGCATCATTAAGCAATTTACGTGCAATGGTAGTTCCAATGCAGTGCCGTGCCCTTTTTGTAGGTACCTTTTTCTCAGACTATTAACAGACGAACCACCCGGACGCATTCAATGGGTTAATCATGCAGGCAAATACGCTTTTTGTTCTTTTCAAGCAGATCAAACCGGAACTCCTGCCAGGGCGGGCGGATTTGTATTTTCACTGCGCTGACTCCACCCTATTCAGCGGAGGGTTGAAAACTGGTTTCAACTGGAACTTTGAACTTGGAGGGCAAACAGCCAGTCTGCATGTTGGTTTGAGGCTCGAAGCGTTCAGAAAAAAGCTCGTGCTAGTTTTTTCCATAAAATTTGCTCTGATCGTATCGGTAAGTGCCGTTCACTACCCGAATGAGTTTGGCAACAACCAGATTCCTCTTGGATGGCTGTTGAAGTCATCATTTTACAAACTGGGCGTTTTCCATGATTCATTCAACAACTACAAACTTTGCCTTGCCATTAAAGCCCGGTTTCTTCTATAAGTGCCGAAACTCATTGGAATCGCTCCCTTTTGCGAGTTTATTTCAATTGTTGTTCAAAGTTTGAATTCTTGTTACTGCAGTTTAAAGAGCATACTTTCATTTACCAAAATCGCAGTTTCACATTTTGTTGAAAAAGTACGTCAGCGACTCCTTCCATGGCTCGTCATTGCATCGCTTGCTAAGCGCTGAACTTAATAATTTAACTTCTCTTTAGACTAATTACAGTCTAACAACCCTAACACATACAATGGTTAATCATGCAAGCAAATACGCTTTTTGTTCTTTTCAAGCACCTCAAACGAGAGCTCCAGACACGGGGTTTGTATTTTCAGTGCGCTGACTCCACCCGGTTCGGCGGAGGGTTGAAAACTGGTTTCAACCGGAATTTTGTACTTGGAGGGTAAAACAGCCAGTCTGCATGTGGGTTTGAGGCTGGAAGCGTTCAGAAATAACCTCGTGCTAGTTTTTTCCTCAAAAAACCGCAGGATTTGCTCTCTTCGATAGCGGTAAGTGTCCTTAACTACCCGAACGAATTTCCCAGAAGCACAAGCGTAGACTATGCAGTCTAAGCTATTTGGCAGTGACGTCAATATTTCAGGCGCTATATTGAAATTGGCGCATGTCCACGTATGGTTCTTTCATTTCTTTCTAGTTCTAAGTAAAAAATGTTTTTATTTTATAGAATTTTTAAGAAATATCTTTATTTGTCTTTCCTGATAGATTGAACATTCGTCATTGCTAATGCTTGATGTGAGTGTAGAATATTTATTTTTCTCTGTAAAACTGGAGCAGTCGACAACGTGGCATTTAAATTACGTGCAGCGGCAAAAGTGAGTTGAATTTGCAGACTGGAAACAATTAATCGGGAAAATTAATCGATTTTTTTCCCAATCAAATCAATAAATTTAATATTCTTCCATACCAACCAAATTCCGTCTCGCTCGTTGGACACGCAAGAGAAAAAGAACGGCAATCATTGCGTCACTGCCTAAAGCTGGTGACAGACTTTTGAAAGTAGATGCCAATTTTATAACTCGGTCAATTCTGCGGGTGAAAGTTCCAAACTACCCGATGCTCCCGAGGGTAAAACATCTAAGAAAAAACTAATGGGTTTTTCGGGTTTTTAGGCTGTCGTTCGGTAGAATTTCTTCTTGACGTTTCGCAAGCACGAGTGGCTTGCATCTTCAGAAGTGGTTTGGGTTAGTTCTCATCAGAACTTCTCTCAGAACCTTCTTCTTCTCATCAGAACCCGTTTGAGTTTGCCCGGAGAAGAAGAAAGTTCTGAGAGAAGTTCTGATTCTCGGTCTGAAACTGGATAAAGTTTCCGATGTAGTTAACTGTCCAGAAGCCCATCTTTTGCAATATTAATCAGTTCTGTTCGATCCTTTCGGACCTTATAGGGCGACGATAGACAACTTCAAAGTTTCGGGTTAATTTTTTCAGCACCCTGTTGTTTTCGTCCCTTGTAAATGCATTCGAAGTGATAGAGTTTAACAACTGGAAACTTAAGAAACTTCAGGTTTGTGTTGGATGGAAACTCAGTTTCGAACGTTATTGGCTTTCTTGAAAACACATAAAAAAAGTTAACAGGTGCAACTAATAAAGTGCAGTTTTGGTATTTTAGTAGAAGCGATCCAAATTTTTAAGAGTCCAAAGTTTCACGTTTACAAAAATTTCCAGTGATTTTTGGAAAATTTTTGAAATCTCCCTCAAAACCTGATGATTTAGGTACGATTTTTAAAAATTCAAGAAATCCTTTCAAGAGCTGATAATTAAGTAGAATTTTGGCATTTTAGTAGGCAAAGTTCTCATGTTGAAGTCT